AAAGTACAAAACTATCGTACTGAAGAACAGATCAGTGGTTGCCAGGGGCTAGGGGGCAGGGGGAGGGTTTCACTGCAAATGAACAAAAGGAAGGACTTTGAGGGGATGATGGAAGTATCCTGTATCTTGATTGTGGTGGAAGCTATAGGACTTTATATGTTTGTCAAATTCATAGAGCTAAACACAAAAAGCGTGAATTTTTAAAACAAAAATGATTAAAAATAATCTTTAACTGTGGTGAAAGATCTGTGATTTACAATAAAATATGAATTCATAAGCTATCATTTATTTCAGTTTAATAAAAGAAAATCTCCCCAGGTGGTTCTAATATGCAATCAGGGTCAAGAACCATGCCTAAGGCAGTTATTTTCCCATAAATTGTGTGTGTGTGTGTGTGTGTGTGTATGTATATATATATATGCTCTAGGACTACCATTTTTCCCTTAAAAGAGTAAGTTATCTCCCCTTCCACCCAAAAAGGTCAAGCAACAAAGACCATTGAGTTGGAAAAGGTGATCCATGAATGCATCAAATGAAAGCAGAGGTTGGCTGGACTAGGAATGTTACACTGGGAGAAAAAGAGACCCAAAACATGAAAGGTTATTGTCTTTAAGTATTTGAAGGGTGATCAGGTGTAAATAACAGATATTACACAGATCAGGTGTAAATAACAGACAGGAAACAACCGGTGGAAAGGGCATAGAACCCAATGCAAGGAAGAGATTTCTAGCAGTTAATCTGCAAACAGAACAGGGTGCCACATGGAGATGTGAGCTTCTCAGCCTCAAGGACAAAACAGCAGAAGTGGGCTACCCACTTATCTAAGCTTTTATATAAGGATTTCAGCAGTGGGTAAAAGATTAGATTTGATGATCTCTTAGGTCTAATCAATTCTAAAATTCATGAAGTCCAAAGTACTGCACAGAAGAAGCTGAATTCCCCCTAGATGCTTCAGCTGAGCAAAATTTGAGAGGTACTACAAGGTCCTACCTGTCCCAAATATCTTCTTTGTCTGAAATTCCACTTCACTTCCACAAATACTAAATAATGCTCAAAAAGTGGAAGGCACTGTGCAGAAAAAGTTTTGTTAGGGAAATAAAAAGAAGATATAGAACCTCACCCCCCTGTCTTGAGAGAAATCTTCTGCATCCGTGGATGTTTTGTTGCCCTTGTCTAGCTTGGATTAATACTCACTCTGTAGGCACAGACCTGATCATCTACATTTGCCCTCTTACAGCACTAAATTATGTTTTCTACCTTTGTCTTGCATCTACCTACCACTTCAGCATTTTATTTAAAAAGTAACAATAATAATAATAAGGGAGAAATGTGGGATTCACATATAAATCAAGTATAAAAATCAAACGAATAATAATATCTGACTTGATTGTTTATAGTTCATGATGTGTGATCAAAACCGAAAGTTTCTGTGATATGACTGCCCTTGTACTGTTCACCATGTAAGAACTTATTCACCATGTAAGAACTTGTTCGTTATGCTTCAGAAGATTGGAGACTGTTGAGAATTAGGCTTGGGGTTGATTAATGACTGTGCATTGAGTCCCCTATACAGAATTTTATTGTTGTTAACAACCATTTGATCAATAAATATGAGAGATGCCCTCTCAAAAAAAAAAAAAGAAGATACAGCTCAGTTCCAAAGCTGACTGCCTCATTCCCCCAAATCTCAGATTAAATATCACTTTCAGGAAGCTCCACTCCCTCTAAAGTCTGGCATAAGTACCCTTTCCATGCCCCTTTAGCCCTGCATACTTCTCATAGCACACATCATACGCACTGCCTTCTCTCTTCATTCAACCATGAAGTCTGTGAGGATAGAGAATAAACATATGCATAAAAATGAACATCCAGAATATACAAAGAGTTCTTATAATTCAATAAGAATAAAATGACCCAATAGGGGGAAAAGGTGGTACAGGATATGAACAATAAGATATAGGCAATTTAAAATGAGGAAACTCAAAAGGCCAATAATCATATAAAAGATGTTCCACCTCAACAATAATAAGGGAATTACACATTTTAAAAGTTCATTCTATTCCTATCAGATATGAAAAGAGAAAACAACAGGTATTAGAAAAGATATGAAGAAGTGTGAATTTTAATGCTTACTGAGAATAAATTAGTACAAATAATTCAGATAAGATTTGGCCATACCTGGCAGGCAGAAATATGCATACAGCTTTAAACACTTCCTACCCTGTAGAAACTCTTATACATTTCACATATCCACAAAGGGACAGATATAAGACTGTTTGTTGCAATGCTGTTTATATAACAAAAAAAGGGGGAAAGAGTAACGTACCTGTACATTGGATAAGAACTTAACTCTTAGAAGGGAATAGCAAATAGCCATAACATGTGACAACTTGGATAAATCTCAGAAACAGAATATTAAGTGAGAAAGACAAGTTGCAAATAATCTTACAATATGCTTCCATTTACATGCATTTTTTAAAACACCCAAGACTGTGTGTGTGTGCAAGAGGGATATACTGAGAGACAGCAAGAGAATTTCATGGGTATACATGTATGTAAAAATTAAATATAAAAACAAACATAGGAATGATAAATGGCAACTTCAAGACTGTAGTTACCTCTGGAGAGGCAGGAATAAAGCTGAAAGGCAGAGTTCTAGCTGAAGCTGAAGCTATATAATTTAATCATTGTTAAAAAAGAGATATGTGAACCAAAAAACATACACACAAATAAGCATAAGGCAAACAGAGGGTGACAATATCAGAACAAGCAAAGAGCTATGAGAAATGAAATTCATGAGCCTAGGAAGCTTCAGGAAGACTTCACGGAGAGGGCAGCTTAGAGCTGGGCCTTAAAGGGTGACTAGGATCCCACAGTCTGAGATAGAGTAAGGGCGAGCATGAGCAGATGCATGGAGATGTGAACAGGGGAGGATCCCGAGGAAACTCAGGTCACCCGATGAACTACAGCGGATGCCAAGGACTAGCAGCTGAGGCGATGGAGTGGGAGGGAGGAGCGATAGGTTTCCGCCAGGAGGTAAGGGCAGGTTTATATTCTTTTTTGCTGGAAAACCCTCCAGAGGCTTTATGAGCAGTGTGAAGGCCAAGCTCTGCCTTTTCGTGGCCTCGCTGCATACATGATCGTATGTTGCATATACCGAACACTGAGTCACTGAAAGGACAGAATGAAGGCAACGTCATCCAAAGGGCAAGAGGGGCCTAAGGCTAGCGTTTGGCAAGAGGAAGAAAAGAGCAGATTGTTGCTTCCATTTTCCTTCCTTCTCAGAGAACTTAATAGCAAGGAGCCTAGGATATGGCAGAAAGTTCTAGAAAGTCCTTATGGATAAGGTTAGGATTAGGGTTCAGAGCCCCACCCCCCCACATCCTTCCCACTGTAACATTGTCACTACCTTAAAAGCACAGCAGGGAAACAAAATTATTTGTAATTCATTGAAACCTGATAGAACTTGAAATAGGATAGTCGATCCAATCATCTATTTAAATTGTGAAGTCTCACATTAGTCAAGTTCTACTGGTTGAGTAACTGCAAATTCAGACATTTTCTGTCAAAATAGAAACGAAAAGCAAAGGAAGCTATAGCGCCACCTTGTGGTGAGACCCAGCTCTGCACTGAGATGGTTCTGCCAAGGCCATTCAGGGGTGCTGTGCCTTGTCTGGATCTGGAGTCCAGACATGAGGGTGAGGGCAGCAGACGCCGAGAGCTAGAGCAGGCAACAGATAGGACCAGGAGTGAGGAGGCCTGCCTCCAGGCCTCCCTTCTTCCTAACATACTTCAAGCAGGATCAGGACAGCCAACGTCAGAAAGCCTGAGAGGTGGTGGAAGTAGGGAGACAGGCAGAGGAATATAACGTCACAGATGTTCCCAGGGATGTTGTGCTAAAGTGAGCTGGTATTAATGAGCTATGAGCCTCAGACCTTCCTGAAAAATAAAATGACTTTTTTTTTCTATAAAAAACTGCCTGATAGAAGCAGAGATCACCAGCCACAGAGGGCCAATAGTCTCCAACCCAAGTGTCAACTTCAACAAATTGGTGGTAGCTAATGAGCACATTGTGTTAGGCAGAATTTGAGTTCATTAGAAAGAAGGCCATTAATGATTGACATCTGTCTCTGATATGGGGGAGGGGAGTGACAGTACCCCTACCCCAGGGGAGTATGCTGCTGTGGATCTCTGTTTAGCTCTAACTTCTCTGCATCTCAGTTTTTCTCATTATAAAATGAGGATAATTCTGCCTTCCGGGACTACTTCAATAAAAGGAGACCAAGAAGAGATGATTCAAGTATTTCTGTTGACTTCCCTGGATGAACAAGAAAGCTGATGACTTCAGAGTTTCTCATGGCCTTTCCTGACCTGAACACCATTGAAGGAGCTGAAGGACATTGTTTGAAAATGTTAGGGGCTCTACTAGATCATAATACTGAGTCTAAGAAACGGGATAAGCTGGCATTTAAACAATTTAAGTCATTAGCTGTGAGGCTGGTGCTGCAATTTTTCCAGGGCCAGAGAAGGTAATAAAAAGAAATCAAACAGCATCATTAAAGTACTTCTAGATTAATTCACTCAACAATTACTTATTTAACATTTTAATTTTGTAGACATTTATATATGTATTGTACTACACAAGTATATAATTTATAATATATATATTATATATTTCTCTATATGTGATTTTATAGGTATTTATTAAGCACCTACTATGTGCCAGTTCTTTGTTAAAGCTAGGGATAGAGTTGAGAATAAAACAGGTACCTGCCCAAATGGAGTTTACATCCTAGGGGGAAAGGCTGTAATAAACAAATAATTACTATAAAACAATAAATGTTACAGAAAGGGAAATGTGGGTGGCAGGAGACCCTCTGGAAGGGGCTTTACATGTCTGTAGGCCAGAGGTTGCAGATTCATGGTGCCTGGGACAAACTCATCTACAGACAATTGCTTTGGCCAGCACCCGAATGGCTTCAGTGGGACATGCGCTCTCCAGGTTTCCACAGGCCCCACCACTCCACACTGCGTTCTGCTCGGTGTTCTCTCACATCAGGGTAGCCTGGGTCCTGAAAGACATGCCATGAAAGAAAGAGCCCAGTGAGTAGGGTAGGGAATACGGTGAGGGAGTGTTCTAAGTGGGCAGATGCCCAGAACAGAGAGAGACTCTGGTAATTCTGAAAACTGAAAGGTCTAGGTGACGAAAGCATGGAAGAGATTACGGGGTCCAACTCCTTTATGTTATATATGAGGAAACAGGCCCAGAGAGAGGAAGTTTGTTCAAGTCACACAAGTAGCAAAATAAGCAACAGACTCAGAACTAAACCCCAGATGTCCTGCTCCCCAGTGACCAGTTCTTTCCGTGCAATACTGTCCCCTTATCCATAAGGCCTACCAATCCCCAGTGAAGCCCCAGGGAATGTTTAGGAATCCAGGCCCATTCACTCTAGCTGCCCGCAGGGATTCAGGTCAATCAGGCACAAGGCCCTGCTCCCAGGCATTGCTCCGCAGAGTCACCACTCCCTTGACTGTGAGTAAGGGCTGGATTTAGGAGCTGGCAAGTTTCAGGGGCCGGGTTCAGGCCTCACCTTACCCTGTACTTCCCTAGGCGGTGTGATGACAGGAAAACACCTCCCAGACAAAGGAGGGAGACCGGCCTTCCACCCACAGCCCTTCCTCCCCCTGGCCTGAGGCTGAGACCTGAAGACCCAGACAGGGACCCCAGGGAAACCCAGCTTTCTTCGGGCCACCCTTATTCACTCAGCACCTTCCCCAAAACTCCTGAACTCCTCTTTGTAACAGGTTCAAGAATGCTCATCTAGGTTGTGTCTAAAAGCACACTGAATATGTTTGATTTTCTGATGATAGCGCCACTTTGGGACAATGTTCTCCATGTAAGTGGTTTGTCCAGTAAAAGAAGATATCTTCCTGGCTTTTTGTTCATCTTAAAGCTGTTCTTTCTTGTTCTGATACATGCTACAACATAGGTGAATCTTGAAAACATTGAGCGTTACATGAGGTACCTAAAACAGGCGATTTGGTAGAGACGGAATGTAGAACAGTGGTTACCAGGGCTTTGGGGATGGAGGGTGGTTGGGGGTTTAATTGTTTAATGGGTGCAGAGTTTCTGTCTGGGATGATGAAAAAGTTCTGGAAATAGATAGTGGTGCTGGACCTCTGGCAAGCTATACCACAAGGCTTCCAAACTTCGGTGTGCATACAAATCCCTGGGGCACCGGGATTTTACCAGAGCCTGCTGATGGGGTTGTGAAGATCAGGTGAGACAGTGTAAGTAAAGTGCTTAACTCAACCCCCAGGACTTAGTGAGCACTCGAGGAATGGAAACTAATATTTTTACTATTTTTTTACTTAGTCTCTGTCCTTCCAAACTTACAGGTTTGTGTGCAAAAACACGTGTCTCTCTGTGTAGTTGTTTTGCTTTGTTTTTGCTAGATGTGCACAACTGGGTACGTAAGAGCCCTCGCACATGTCACAAGTTCCTCGCAAGGCTGTGCTCCCAGGAGCATGTGCTCCGGTGCAGATACAATCCCTGGGAGGCACGTGTTCACGTGTTTGCAGCTGAGCAGAGTGTGCCTGTGTATCTTGTATATACAAAACACTGTTTCCTTAGGACACTGTTATCGATGAACTAATTCAAAAGTCATTTCTTGTTTCTGATATCAGCCAAGGTTGGTGAGTGTAAAGATAATTAAAGATTGGTCAAAGGGGAAAATCGTGTTTTAATTGAAGTCTCTTATCCTACCCAAAGGTTCTAGATATTGGAGAGAAATGTGATAACTAGCTATAAACATTCTGGTCTAGAGGTTAGTGTGGGTCACCAGGCTGTAAATGCCACAGGTCTCCAGGCCGTCTGCCCAGGCTTCCAGTCAGAGGTAGGAAGGCTGATCTCGGGGTGCCCCTTCTGTTGGGATACCCATTCTGCTACTCTTCCACAGAGGCACTCTGCAGGGTTAGGAAGGCTGATGTCTAGAAGGCAGGACCCCTGAGTTCTCACCGGCTTCTGTGGCCAGCTCTCTTGACCACGCCAGGACTCCGAGTCACCCAGGCAAAGGGGTTGCAATAGGACCCAAGAGTTAAGTGCATGGGCATTAAGCCAGACAGACCCGGGCTTCACTTCGGTGCCTCTACCTCTCAGTTGGTAAACGTGTGACTCAGTGACTTCCTCTTTCTGAGCTTCCATTTCCTCAACTATGAAACATGGATTTTTAAAAAATCAAATTCCTATTTCACCAGGTTATTGGGAAATTTAATTAGGAGTTTGCATTGGAAGGGACTGGCATATCATATTCGCTTAACCTAGCTTATATTTATTGAACACTTACTCTTTGCCTGTCTACACAGGCATCATTTAATCCCTGCAATGACTCAGAATGGTAGATACCATTATCATTCCCATTTTATAGATGAGGAAACCCAGGCACTTGCCCGAGGTTACACTGCTGGTAAGAGGGGAATTTGAACCCAGGCACTCTGACTCTCACACTGTCCTCTTTAATATTATTGTTACCAACAAAAATAACGCAGAAAGGATTTCAGTGCCTCCCCTACAACTGTGGAGGAAATTGCTCACCCTCAGATTCCCCTCAAATCTCTTTAATATTAATGTACATCCATTTCCCCTGATTCATTCCCAGACTTTAGCTATCATTCACTTATTCATTCAGCAAACATTCTTTGAGCAGCTACTATGTGCCAGGCTCTGTGCTCAGCCCTTAGGACACATCACTGAACAAAACAGTCAAGGTGCCTGTGCCCACAAAGCTGGAAACTGGAGGAGAGAAGTCAGCCATGCAGAAAACCAGAGCAACAGCAAAAGCAGAGGCCCTCAGGTGGGACTGAGCCTGGCCGGCGCGATCTAAGAAATGAGAAGGACAGTATGGCTGGAGCAATGCGCAGGAGATGTCTTGAATGGGCCCTGCCCCTCTCTGGAGCTCCAGACCTGTCGTCCACACCCTGACCGCACATACCTCCTTGGGTGGTGCCCAGACCCCTTCAAGGCAGTATGTCCAAAACAGAAGTCATTACTTTCCCCAGACTGACCCTCTCCTCTTCCCTGACCAGCCACTGCACAGCCAAACACCCAGTAGCCTAGGCTAAAGCTAGAGACCTGTTAAATGTTTCCTGAGTTTGTCCTCTCGCTAACGCAGTGACCTTTGCCTTGGTTCCGCCCTCATCGTCACTGGCCTGAGCTGTCGGGCTGGCCCCTAACTGCCCGGCCTCAGCCTCTGCACCTTCTCCCTCAGGTTGCTGCCGGAGAGCTTCCCAAAACAAACATGTGATCGTACAACTCCTGCAGTGTAAAAACCCCCATGGTTCCTTTTTTGTCTCAGGATGAAGTCTAAACTCCTTGGCCTGGCAAATAACACCCTTCACAGTGAAGTCTGAAGCCACATTTCCAGCCTTATCTCCCATTATTTGTCCACATTTCTGAGCACCAGCAATATCTAATTACACTTTCATACCACCAAGAACAGCACAAGCTGTTCCCTCTACTTAGCATCACTCTTCGGGCTCTCTATCCCTGTAGAACTACTATTCACCCTGTAAGATCTAGCCCATTTCACTAAAGCCTTCCGTGACACCTCCGGGCAGAATCATCCACCGCTCTCCCAGAACCCACAGTACATGTTTACAACACAGCTACAGAACTCATCAAATGTGTTTCTGGTTATTTGGTTATATATCTATCTCCCCACTAGACTGAGTGCGGAAAGGCTGGGACCCTGTCCTGTTGAGCGCAATGCCTAGTGCACAACAGATATTCAACAAGTGTTTGATGGATTGATTAATTAATTAAAAATGGATAGAGCACAGAAAAAAATCAATGAGTCCCTCAAAAACCAAATTCCCAGCCATGGCCCTAATAGCACAAATCAAAGGTCAGCATGGAAACTGAGAACTAACCAGAAACCAATCTTGTCTTGCCACCTGGGAATCACAGAGTGACAGAACTAACTAAAGACCAGGAGATACTAAGGCATTGAGGCAAATGATTTATCCAAGTTCCCTCAATCAAATGTCAACAGAGCGGAACTAGTCCTGGAAGCTCCCAACCAGGACAGCTTCTGTCCAAAATTCAAAGACAAGAGAAGCAAGGTGTTTTTGTACACACGGCATCCAAGAAGGTGCCCCTGGTTCAGGGTGCCGAACGCAGTCACGCTCCGGGTTGAATCGTGTCCCCTAATTCCTGTGCTGAAGTTCTAACCAGTTCTTCCCTCCAGCATGTGACCTCATTCAGAGATAGATCTTTACAGAGATAATCAAACTGAAATGAGGTCACTAGGTGGGCCCTAATCCAATATGACTAGTGTTCTTATAAAAGGAAAAGTTTGGACACAGAGACATATACAGAAGGAGAACACCATGCAAACGTGAAGCTGGCCACCTACAAGCCAAGGAGAGAGACCCGGAGTGGTTCCTTCCCTCACCGCCCTAGAAGGACCCAATCCTGCTAACACCTTGATTTCAAACTTCAAGCCTCCAGACCTGTGAGACTGTCAATTCCTGTTTTTTAAGACACCCAGTCTATGGTACTTTGTATGGCAGCCATTGCGAACTAACGAAAGCCCCATGAAGTGGTGATTCTTAAAATGTGGTCCCTAGAAAAGCAGGATCAACATTACCTGGGATTTGTTAGACAGGCAAGACCTCTCAGAAACTCTGGGGCCAGGACCCAGAAATCAATACTGCAGTAAAGGCCTCTGAGTGATTGTCCTGCATACTGCGTTTGAGAACTGCTGCTTTAGAGCTACCCTATCTGTGCTGGGTTGATTAAAGTCCCCCCAAAATGTACAACCACCTGGAACCTCAGAATGTGACCTTATTTGGAACTAGGGTCTTAGGGTCTTTGCAGATGCAATTTGTGAACATACTAGAGGTCATACTGGATTAGGGTGGGTCCTAAACCCAACGTTGTTACAAGCAGAGAAAATAGGAAGGCAGGGACGCAGACACACAGGGAGAATGCCGGGTGACAGGGGAGGCACAGACTACAGTGATGAGTGTGGAAACAAAGGGATGCCCAGGATGGCCAGCCGTCAGCAGAAGCTAGGAGAGAAGCAGGAAGGATTCTTCTCTAGAGCCTTCAGAAGCAGCATGGCCCTGCTAACACCTTGACTCTGGTCTCCAGAACTGTGAGAGAATAAGTTTCTGTTGTTTTAAGCCAGCCAGTTTGTGGTAACCTCTTAAGGCAGCCCTTAGAAAATAACACTCCATCCAGCAAGAATCATAAGCCACCTGTGACCACTTAAACTTAGGTTGTTCAAGAGAAGTAAAATTGAAAATTAAATTCCTCAGTTGCACGGGACACATTCCAAGTGCTCAACAGCACATGTGGCTCATGGTTACTGTATCTGACAGCACTAACATAGAACATTTCCATTAGAGCAGAAAGTTCTACCGGAGGCCACTGTTCATGGGCTGAATCCAGCCCACCATCCGTTTTGGCATGGCCCCCAAGCTAAGAATGATCTTTACATGCTTCAATGGTTGAAAAACTAAAAGAATATTTTGTGGTGTGTGAAAATCATATGAAATTTAATTTTATTATCTGTAAATAAAGTGTTATTGGAACACAGCCACACCCATCATTTACATACTTCTATAACGGCTTTAATGCTTCTATGGCCTAGTCAAGTTATCATGACAGAGACCACATGGCCCACAAAACAAGCATATTTACTCTCTGGCCTTTTGCAGATGTTTGCTAACCCTCTGAGCAACATGAAGATTGGCAAGGAGAGGCTATCAGAACAAACTGGCATGATGGTGAAACACAGAGGAAAGCTGTTAAGATGCCCATAGGCATGTACTTCCCGTCAGAGTAAAACCAAAGAGATTATATATTATCTGTTATGTGTATGCACATTATATACATACAATACCCACATTTATGCACTCACACATGTACATTATACACACCCACATACACACAGAATATGCATAAAGAAGGTGATAGGAGGGACATAGACCTGGGTCGTAATGACAGCTACCTAAGAGTGAAGAACTGAATTGGGACAGTGGAGTTTATGTCTTCTGTTATTATTGTCTTTTCACTTTCTGATTCTTCTTTAATAAGGGAGCATTGCTTTTTTGATAAGAAAAAAAAAATCTCCCTAATTCTACAGCGGAGCTCCTAACCTACAGATCACTTTGTGAGGGCTGGTCCTCCTGGGCTGCCCTTTTCTTTCCGTAGCTCTGAATACCTTCATGCCTTGCTTCCCATCAGCAAGGGCTCTCAGGCAGAGATCTGCTCACTCCCTTCACTGACTCGCAGATTACTACATGCATTCTTCCTCCCGGAGCAGAAGAACTGTTCAAGAAAGATCAAACCCTAGGCCATGGGGTGAAGGTCTACCGGTGGAATGACAGCTGCCCGTCAGCCAGGTAGGGACACAGAGGGCCATCCGGTCACCCCTGAAATCTCCAGGCTCAGGGAACTGCCTACCTTGGTTACTTGTAGGAGCCTAGCCCATGTACAGTCTTAGGCTCTGCACCCAAAAACAATCAACAAATATATACAGCTACACTTAAGGGCAGAATCCAAACCTGCTGGCTTACCCCCACACGAGGCAAATGCTTCCCAAACCGAGCCCACTTAGAAGATCTAGGTCGTGACCACCAGATCTGGGAGACCTGAGTGCAAATTCCTGCTTTGCCACCAACTCCCTGGGAAACCTCGGCCCCTCTGTTTGTCCTCTCCTGGCTTCAGTTTTGCCTCTGGAAAGGGTCAGGCTTGGATGGGTGAATTCCAAGTCCCCACCACCACCCAGCTCTGCGCTGGTCCACTCTGGCTCTTCCAGGTGTGTGTGTGCATGCCTGGGACAGGGTCCAGGTCATTCCTAAAGGGTCAAACGATTAACCATTGGGCTGGGCCAGATCCAGAAAGGACTCAAAAATTAACTTGCTTACTTCTGTTTTCCCTTTTAATCTTCACCATTCAGAACTCTAGTAGAGGCACCATCCCCTCCTGCCTCCACAGAGGGCCGTCCTCTGACCCTCTACCCAGAGCGTTCCACCCCCAATCTCCCTCTCCCCAAAACTAAATTCTGCCAGTCCTCACCTCTTCCATGAATCCTCTTCTGATTCCCCAGGGCTCCACAACCACAGCGTCCTCTGACTGCCCCACTACACTCCCCTGCGTCCCAGTACAAGGTGCTAGCGCTGACTGCCTGGGGCTGGAGTGGCCTCGCCTCTGGGTACCTCTTCCTACGTGGCTGCTCCCAGGGGCAATAAAAACTATATTGTATTCAACCTTCTGTCTTACGCATAGGTAGATTGTTGAGGATGCTGGAATATTTGAAATGCTTTTCACCAAGCTGAGAAATAAGCCCTGACCACCAGGAAATGTCTTAGCTCCTCACAGCGCCTGTAAACTCTCTCAGCTCCCTGAATCCTCACAGGAACCCCATGAAACAGGCCGACCACTAAACTGGAGCATGAAGCACTTAACACAGAGGTGAAGCAATCTCCTTAAACCCAGGTGGCAAGTTGGCGGTAGAGCCCGAACCACATGCCAGAGTTCTTGCCTTGTGTTCCTGGGCTCTGGGTGTGCAGCACACACGGAAATCATAGCCTCACCCTCTTCTTAAACTGCAGCCTGTTGCCACCTCCATGCTAACATGTGAACACACACACTCTGTAAACACTTTCACACTGGCTCCAGCCTGCTCTGGGCTTCACGCCTTTGGAATCCAGGGCTGATTTTCTCCCCTCGGTAACCATCATTCTCTAAGGCAACAACAGCCTAGTGAAGCTTGCAGCCAGATCAATAACTTCTCTCCAAGAGATGACAAGGGGCCAGGAGACAGTGAACTTGGTCTGACTTGCTCTATTGTGTTCCCCTAAGCCCCTGACCTCCTTCCCTGGGCACTACCTTCTTGGCATGGAGAAGAGATGGGCGAAAGCTTTGGAGTGTGGGCAAGCGTCCCAACACGCAACTGGGAGATGGGCTTCCTAGCCAACATAACATGCTTACCCTGTCTGGCATCCAGGAACCATATTCTCTCAGCCACCTTTGCTGTTCAGCTAGTCATTCAGGGACCTGTAAATATATGCACAAATTCATATGCATGTGACTAAGTACAGATATGTATGGACAAGAGCATTTATGCCATTGTATTTAGTGTGTGTGTGTGTTGTGTAGGTTTAATGTAAACATCCATGTATATCTGCAGGTACCCTCCTGAAAAATGTGTACATGTGTGGGTCAGTAGGTGAGTGGGCACAAATATTTGTTCACATGCCACTCATCCATCAACTTGACAAAGATGTGTTAATACTGCAGGAACTGTGCCCAGGTCTGGGCATGAGGACACAGCATACAGAGGGGCATACACCAGAGCACAAGGGCATAGGAGTGACAGATGTGATCTTCAGGACTATGTACTTGTCTGTGAAACCACTGCACACATGTATGTGCACCTCAGGGCCCATATCAAGCTAGGGAAGTGTCTGGTTGCATAAATGAGGATATATCTTCTGTCAATAATTGAAGACGCTGCTGTGTTCTCTCTCTGGGACCCAAGGATCCAATCTAACCAGCCCTCACCTGGGCCTTGGACAACAGAGGCATCCTCTGCCTGCTGGTCTGCCAGGGCGGAAGCCTGAAGTGCCGGGTCCCCCTCATCATCCTAACCACTCCACCCTCCCCACCCAGAGGGAGGGGAGGCAGCATTTCCGATAAGAGGGCCCTCAGAGTCAGGCTGCTGGAAGCCACCTGAGCTTCACGTAGTTTTATGGTTTCACAGTTCGTGTTTGGCTCTGGGTTATTTCTGCTTAAAGAGGTAAGCCGGAGAAGGCAGAGGAGAGAGGGGAGGGGACATAAGCTGCAGGTCACCTGCGGGAGACACCTGCCCTGGCAGCCGCCTCTGGAACCACATTACCTTCAGGGTTCTAGGTCCTACCAGAGGCGGGAGCCACCCAAAAAAAAGAGAACAAGAGCTTCTGGGAACAGAGGTGGAAAGGAAAGCCCTTGCAGAATGTACCTCAGGAGCCCAGCATCACCTCTGCAGCCTTCTAAAACATCTAGGAAGCTGCTCTACCAATAGATCAGCTAGGCTCTACTTGGTCACATCCCAGGACACAAGGAGCTCACCCCCTCTAAGATGCTCTCTTAAAATTTTTTCTTTTAATACTGGGACAAAAATCCACCTCCTAGTAACCTTCATTCACTGTACTACTTTCCCTTTCCCTTTCAAACATAATTAATCTTCCTGGGAATAACTGTCTTTTGATTAATGTCTCTGGAAGGCCCGTTTCAAAACCTAATATAACATCCAAAATATATAAAGAGCTCACCCACCTCAACAAACAAAAAGCAAATAATCCAATTAAAAAATGGGCAGAGGAGCTGAACAGACACTTCTCCAAAGAAGAAATTCAGATGGCCAACAGATACATGAAAAGATGCTCCACATTGCTGATTATCAGAGAAATGCAAATTAAAACCACAATGAGATATCACCTCACACCAGTAAGGATGGCCACCATCCAAAAGACAAACAACAAATGTTGGCGAGGTTGTGGAGAAAGGGGGACCCTCCGACACTGCTGGTGGGAATGTAAATTAGTTCAACCATTGTGGAAAGCAGTATGGAGGTTCCTCAAAACACTCAAAATAGACATACCATTTGACCCAGGAATTCCACTCCTAGGAATTTACCCTAAGAATGCAGCAGCCCAGTTTGAAAAAGACATATGCACCCTTATGTTTATCACAGCACTATTTACAATAGCCAAGAAATGGAAGCAACCTAAGTGTCCATCAGTAGATGAATGGATAAAGGGGATGTGGTACATATACACAATGGAATACTATTCAGCCATAAGAAGGAAACAAATCCTACCATTTGCAACAACATGGATGGAGCTAGAGGGTATTATGCTCAGTGAAATAAGCCAGGCAGAAAAAGACAAGTATCAAATTATTTCACTCATCTGTGGAGTATAAGAACAAAGCAAAAACTGAAGGAACAAAACAGCAGCAGAATCACAGAACCCAAGAATGGACTAACAGCTACCAAAGGGAAGGGACTGAGGAGGATGGGTGGGAAGGGAGGGATAAGGGGGAGGGAGAAAGGGGGCATTACGATTAGCATGTATAATATGGGGGGGACAGGGAGGGCTGTGCAACACAGAGAAGACAGGTAGTGATTCTACTTTAGTAAGTGTCCATCTTACTACACTGATGGACAGTGACTGTAATGGGGTATGTGGGGGGGACTTGGTGATGGGGGGAGTCTAGTAAACATAATGTTCCTCATGTAATTGTATATTAATGATACCAAAAGACAAAAGTAATAAACAAATAAATAAAACAGAGTTGTCCATGAAAAAAAGTTAATATATAACCTGGGAGAAATAAAGTGTCACTTTATAGTTTGAGTATTTCTCTCTCCCAGTTGAAGTCTTTAAACTCCTCAAGAGTAGGGAGGTTTTGTACATGTATGTACATAATGTATATATGTATGTATATGCTATATATATATTTTTTTTTCTATATATACATATATGTATATACTATGTATAAATTTTGTGTATATACTATGTATACACCATGTATATATTTTATGTGTATATACTATGGGTGTATACATATTTTCTGTGTATATACTGTATATATAGTTTATGTGTACATATTTAATGTATATGTACTAAAATATATAGTATATTTTGTGTATATAGTATATATTTTGTGTGCATATACTATATACATGTATGTTTGTGTTTATGTATACACTGTATATACCACCATTCAATTAATGTTTACTGCATCAGGCTCCATGTTCAGAGTTTGTACTATCTTATTTTATCTGCACAACACTATAGAGCACTATTATTTTATCAAGGATAAAAGTGAGAGTCTAAATACCCTGATGTGAGGTCTCCCAAGCTCTGAGTAGAATTCAAGCCCAGTAATTGTGATTTTAGTCCTGTCCTATTAAGCACCACCCTAAAATCCTTCATATGCCTTGTATGTAGTAAATCAAAATAAATACTAGATGAGGGACTTATCTTTTTAATTAACTAATGCATCCATTCCCAGTAACACTTGGAATGGATGAGTGTAGCCCATCAGTTGGCTGTGGATAGGACACAGAACAAATGAATTTACATAGAAGGATAAGAGACAGTCTGGTGCCTGGGCCACTTCCCTGGAATACAGGGTCTCTTGACTTCAAGGTTTTCAGCAGTGCAGGTGCGAGGGAGACACATAAAAGGAAATGCGGTGGGCTTCTGAGCCTCCCTTTTGATGTGAATCCATGCAAAGAATCCCTGAGTCCTTTACCTAGAATGCCTTTCTCCTTTATGTTAGCTTCTCCTCCTTCCTGACCCAGATCAAATGTCCCCTTTTACCTGAAGTTCAAGCTTCCTATCCCTCTCTCAAGGCACAAGTATTCCTCCTTCAGCTGTGTTCCTACTGTATTTCACACATGCCTCGATTATAACAGACATCACATCCTATTGTATTTATAGGTCCTCACCATGAGGTCCTCACGAACTGTGCGGTCTCAAGGCCTAACGCAGTGCCTTGCAGGACAGACTAAGTAAACACATGTTGCAAGTGAATCAGCGAGTGAGGGAGAGGTCAGAGAATGTGAGGGCTTGCAGAAAGGACTCCCTGAACCCGAACCAGACCAGGGGTTGGCACCCCACAATGACAGGCAGGTTATCCTTGTGCTCCTACCACAAGAGCTGGGAGTCAGCCTCCTCCTACACCACACACCACAGGCAGAGACCTCCCACACCTTCTGGTGAGAACTAAAGTATAAACCATCTGCCACCCCAATGCCCTTTGCCCTGGGGGGGCCAGCTGGCCAGTCTCCCACTTTTCCACTAGCTGTGCCAAAGCAGGAAGGACCCCCCCACATTGGAAAGTTTGCCAACCCAGTCTATCCAGGACTAAGAGAGAGAGTCTAAGAATCTTGGAGGTCATGACAGCTGAGATAACTAGGAATGAGAAGGCAGTGGAGAGAAGAATTCAGCGAGGCCAAAGCAAACAGAGGCTACAGTGCTAAGCTCCAGATAAACAAACAATAAGGATCTGTCAGAGCTAATGAGAAGAGCTCCCAAAGACACAACCGTTACCCCGTGGGAACAGTGCAGCCAGCAGAACGGGCTGAAAGCCCACGGCAAGGACGGAGGTGAGCCAGGTAAAAGAGGGGCTACCAGGACCCAGGAGGCGGAAAGGGCTCTTAGAGCGCACTTTCTTCCTTTTTTTTTGATTAAAGTATCACTGATATACAATCTTATGATGATGTCAAATACACAGCACAGTGGTTCAACATTCACCCCTACTATCAAGTCCTCACCCCCTCCAGTGGGTAAGATGTACCCCCATCAAGGCAGTAAGATGTTATTGGTCATTAACTGTGTTCTCCGCGCTGTACTACCGTCCCCTGGACCAACCTATACTGCGATTGTGAATTATTGTGCTCCTTAGTCCCCTTCTCCCCACCCACCATCCTCCCCAACCCCTCCGCTTTGGTAACCACTCGTCCCTTCTTTGTGGCCTGCGTCTAAATTTGAGTGTCTAAATATAGCTGTTTCCCAGACTCCTTTAGGAAACCCCCTTGGGGCCAGGTTTTCATATAGGACCTGGAGGAGAATTCACCAAGCTTTGATCAAAAGCACCTCAGGCTATGTCACAGGCACATCTAAAAACTGCTCTGGATGATACAGTTCCGTCAATCAGGGCTTGACTGAGCTCAAGCCAAGAGCGGAACAGTGACAACAAGCACGTGAAAGGAAGCTCAACATCACTGCTCATTAGGGGAATGCAAATCAAAACCACAATTAAATACCATTTCACACACACTAGGATGGCTGCAATCAACAATAAATAAATAAATAGCAAGTGCTGGCAAGGATGTGGAGAAATCAGGACCCTCGTACATTGCTGACAGGCATGAGAAATGGTACAACCAGTGTGAAAACAATTTGGTGGTTCCTTAAAAAGCTAAACATAGAATTACCATATGATCCAGGGATTCTACTCTTCAGTATATATCCCAGAGATGAAAACACATGCCCACACAAAAATTTGTACACAAATGTTCATAGCAGCATTATTCACAATAGCCAAAAGGTGGAAACAACCCAAATGACCATCAGCTGATGAAAGGACAAGCTAAATGTGGCATCATATCCACACAGTGGAATGCTATTCGGCTATAAAGAATGAAGTGCTGATACACACCACGACATGGAAGCACCTTGGAAACATTACGCTTAGACATAAAAGGTCACATATTTATGATTCTGTGTATATGAAATGTCCAGAATAGGCAAATCCATAGACACAGAAAGTAGATTGGTGGTTGCCAGGGACTGAAGGGAGGGGGAAATAGGGTATGACTACTAATCAGTATATATTTCCTTTTGGGGTGATAAAATTGTTTTAGAACTAGATGGAGGTGATAATTGCACAACATTGTGAATGTACTAAAGGCCACTAATTTATATACCTTAAGAGAGTTAATTTTACATTGCGTGAATTTGACCTCAATTTTAAAAAGAGACCTGGGTCTGAGAGCCACTTAAATCACTGCATTGGCACTACCTTCTCCACCAAGGTGGAGACCAGGCCTCCTCCTCCCGAAGGCAGGGAGGGAATCACCACTGGGGACCTTCAGGAGCCCAGCCAACCCCCGAGGCAGCGCAGGCCTTCTTCACTCCCCTCCTCCGCACCTCAGTGACTCTCTCTCTGCCCCCAGCGCCCTCAGAGGTGTCAGAGCAGGAAACTGGGGCACAGCAACCGCTCCTTAGCACCGACCTTCCTTCAAGTTCACCGAGTGGCTCCTTCATGGGTTTGCACAGTCAGTGGTTCACAGACTGACAAGCTGCCTGTCTTCTTACAGGGGCCCAGGCTGGTGATGTCGAGCTTCCTCCATCCCCTCAGCTCCCCCATAAATAATGACCATTAACTGGTGACCTGCAATGGGCCAGCACAGAATATGGTATTCGACGTGACTATCATATTTAATCCTCACAATAACCCTATGAGGTAGATATTACCAGAGGCACAACAGACTTCTGTGGATCCTACGCATAGTTGCCTTTGTGGGTCCCTTTCTCAACAAAAAATGTTAAAAATCAAATTCCATGACTGCATTGGTATAAAGATATTAATATTGGTTTAATATTGTATATTAAGACATTTTCTTTTAAATTGAAAAGAAACAAACATTTTCATGGGACTTAAAAATACCATGGACATGGTGCTTCCTGTGCTCGATTGGTAAATCGATCCTGGATATTATTGTCAGTTTCACAGATGAGAAAACTGAGGCTTAAATTACAGAGCTAAAAAGTGGTAGAAATACATGTAGAGTCAACTAATTTTTGACAGGGTGCCACGACACTTCAGTGCGGAAAGAACAGCGTCTGCAACAAATGGTGCTGGACAACTGACTATCCACACACGGAAAAATGAAGTTGGACCCCTGCCTCCCACAGAAACTAACATGTATTTCACCAAAACCACAAACCTCTTAGAAGAAAACAGGGATGGATGTGACTCTTAATGACCTTGTGTTTTTTTAGATATAATACTTAAAGACAAGTAAAACAAAGAAAAAATAGGTAAACTGGACTTCACCAAAAAATGTTTTAAACTTTTGTGTTTCAAAGAATGCTATTAGGAAAGTAAATAGACAATTCATTGAATAGAAAAAATATTTGCAAATCACATATCTGATAAAAAATTTTAAGAATTCTTACAACTCAATAATGAAAAACAAATAACCCAACTTAAAAATGGGCAAAGGACTTTAATAGAAATTTCTTCAAAGATGTACAGATGGCCAGCGAACACATCAAGTGATACTCAACATCATTAGTCACTAGAGAAATGCAGATTAAAACCACAACAAGATACCACTTCACATTCACTAAGGTGACTTTTTTTCTTCTAATGGAAGTAATAATGTTGGCAAGGATATGGTGAAATCAGAGGCACCATACATTACTGGTGGGAATGTAAAATAGGGCAGCCTCTTTGGAAAATAGTTTGTCAGTTCCTCAAAAAAGTCACAAAGAATATGACCTTGAAATTCTACTATTAGGTATATGCCCAAGAGAAGTGAAAACATACATCCACACAAAAACTTGTACACAACTGTTCATAGCAGTATTAATCATAAAAGCCAACAAATGGAAAAAAACCAAATGTCCATTAACTGATGAGTGGATAAAACAAAGGTGGTATATCCATGCAATGGAATGCTATTCTGCCATCAATAAGAATAAAGTATTGATACATACCACAACCTGGATGCACCTTGAAAATATTATGCTGAGTAAAAGAGGCCAGACACAAAAAGCCACATTGCATGATTCCATGTACATGAAATGACCAGAATAGGCAAATCCTTAGAGACAGAATGTAGATTAGTGGTTGTCAGGGACTGGGGGGAGGGGATAATTGGGAATGACCACTAATAGGTACTGAGTTTCTCTTTGGAGTGAAGAAAATGTTCTGGAATTAAATAATGGGGATGTTTGCACAACCTTGTGAATATATCAAAACTAATGAAATGTATGTTTCAAAAATAGTTAATTTTAAGGTATATGAATTATATCTCCATTTTAAAAAGAAAATTTGTGATTATGGTTCTATAACTGTGAATATACTAAATACTATTGAATTATATGCTTCATATAGTGATTGTATGGTATGTGAACCATATCTCAATAAAGCTGCTACCAAAAAAAAAATGTAAGACTGTGATTCAACTCCAGGTTTTCCATTTCCAAAACAAAAGCTTTTAACTACTTCCCACACCTCTTCATTTACAGGGTGATGGCAGAAGAACTCTTTACCTCCCTCCTTCCTCATACAAGCCCCCTTTCCTCTCCCTACCTTACCTGCTCTCTGAACATCAAAAGCTCCAGGCAAGTGGTTTCTTCTTTCTAAGCACGTGTTGTCCAGATCAATAGTTCCCAAGTGACTGCAATCTAAAACCAAATCTCCTTAGCCTGGAAACCAAGCCCTCTAAAGAATCTGCCACCAGCTTTCTTTTCCTAGGACTCTGCTCCACACGCCCAGCATTCTAGCCAAACAATTCTCTCTGCCTTTCCCTGAGTCATGGCCTTTTCCTGCAGTCCCACGTGCCTGGAAAACTCTCGCTCCACCCTTCCACTGCACGGCCAGAACCTTCCTTCTGATGCCACCTGGTGCCTTCTCTGGGTTCAGTTATACACACATGCACACACACATGCATACACACGCACATACTGGCATTAATTTTACTCTCTTTGAGGCATCACAGGTCTCTATACGTCCATGCATTTCTCCCTGCGTTAAGGTATTTGGACATACATTCCTTGAGGACCACACATTAAACAACCCAAAATGCCTAGCACAGTGTCTGGCACACAGTGGCACCCACAAAAGTCACACCAAACTAACTGAAGTGAATTCAACCTCACCCCCAGTCATCTCACTGCTCTTTTTCCACTAAAGGTGGTTTCCTGCCAACTAGGAACACTACAGGCAGTTTGAACAAGGTGTCTAGAATGCTAACAGATGCAAATGGCTTCCAGCCACATCTATTTCATATGAATTAGGAGTGAGCTTTATGGCCTTGGTTGCCCTGACTACCCAGCTGTTAGCATACCCTACTCAGTCCAGGGGGTGGTAATGCCCCCTGGCAGGGTGATGCCAGCCAAGGGCGATGTGAAGGGGATGAGAATTCCGTTCTGTGGTACCAGCATCTTCTGAGTCCTTCATAAGGGCACCATATTAGGACCCCTCCCGCCCATTCCTCAACTCCAACCGAGACAGCGGGTCAGGAAGTCCAGAGGGGTGTGCCGCGGTCCTGCTCAGACAAGGTCCCAGGGAGGACGGCAAGGGAGAGCCAGGCCAGCAACCCCCACCCTGCCCTCATCGGAAGTGCCTTTCAATTTCCTAACCTCTGCTGCACCCTGGTGCCCTGACTGACCATATCCTACAACGTCCCGCTAGCCCTACCTCTTGGGCAGCAACGGAAATAATGCAAGTCACAAATGTAATTTTAAATTTTCTAGGAGCCACGTTAAAGAAGGTAAAAAGAAACAGGTGAAATTAATTTTAATAAGTGTATAACTTAACCCAACAAACCCAAAATATTAGCACTTCAATATGTAATCAATACAAAAAAATTATGAATGAAAGTCTATGCTCTTTTTTCCATGCTTAAGCTTTGAAATCTAGTGCGTATTTTATACTTGCAGGACACCTCAGTTCTAGCAAGCCATACGTCAAGGACCCAGCGGCCACATGTGACCAGCAGCTACCATACTGGACACTTGGCTCTAGGGCTGGGAACACCACTGCCCCCGCTGGCCCAACCGGTGCTGTCCAGTGCACTGAGCCATGTATTCTCACGAAACCAGCCTTTCCCCTGAGCTCCAGGTTTTTGCCAGTTGCCTGCTTGTCATCTCCATCTGCCTAACAGAAATCTCTACAAGTTCTCCAAAATTCTCATTTTCCACCCCAAAACCTATCATCTCCACAACCCACTCCCAACTCAATCAATGGCATCACCATCCATCCAGTTGCTAGATTTAAAATCCAGGCCTCCTTTTCCTTCACCCCTGTCCTGTTCCATATCCAAATAGCCATCAAGTTCCTTTCAGTTCAGCCCATAGATATATCTGTTCATGTGTCTTTGTCTCTATTACTCCTACCACCCTAGCCCGGGGCAACATTATCTTGCCTGGGCTATTGCAGCAGCCTGCTAACTGCTGCCACTCGTCCCCCCCTCCACCTCACTACACCCACACCGAGCAGCCAGAGGGATCAGACCTCTCCCCTGCCCACATCCCTCCTTCAGTTTCCCAGTGTCTTCTAATAAAATCCAAACTCCTTGGCTAGCTTTGGCACACCCTTCACTACCAGCGCCCTGCACCTCCCTGCCCATCCCTCTCCCATCAGCCTTATTTCCGACCTGCTAAATTCATTCCCACTTCCTGCTCCCTCTGTCTGAAATGTTCTCCCCCCACGCCTCTGCATGGCGGTGTCCCTTTCTCATGCAGGTCTGAGCGGCCTTCCCTCGCCGATCTATCTTCCCTCATCCTTATCCTTAGTCATTTTCTGTCCCATAACCTTGTCTTTATTTTCTTCATAGCATTCACAAAGAGGAGCATTCAGTTCTCTGAAATTGTTTGCTTTCTGTCTCCTTCCACTAGAACATAAGCTCTGTGAGGGAAAGGATTTTCCTTCTATGATTCATCTGTTCCTTAAGCAGCTGGAAGAGTACCTGGCACTTAGTAACATATGAATGAATGAGTAAGTGAAGGCTTTTCCCTCAGTCTAGAACATTCTCTCCATTCCCTGTTTGACTCTTTCTCCCTTAGGTCTTAGGTTAAGAGTTACCTGCCTGGACAGCCTTCCCAGACTGTTTATTTTCTATCTCAGCATCCTCTTTGCTACCCTCAAAGCACAATCTTGACTATTGCCGATTTGTCAACTTTCTCTTTTGTCTTCTATGTTGCCTTTCCTGGACTGCTCTTAACACCACTCTACACTCTACACCCCACAGACAGGGGCCACATCTATACAGTTCCCTCCTGTCACCCCACCGCCTGGCACAAAGCCTGGGATGTGGCCTGTGTCAAGTAAACACTTGCTGGATGAATAACCAACTCTTCCTGGTACCTCCCAGGCCTGGAGATCCCCTGGGGGTATCCTGCCAGGCCCCTACAAGAAGCCTGCCTTGTCCTGGTCTCCTCCAGCTCCCAGAAACCTCAGTTCCCACCTCCCTGGACCACCAAGGAGCCTGGGCATGATGAGCTGGGTACGCAGTTTCAAAGAAAGCAGAGGGGCTGGGACAGGAAGAAGGAAAACCATTATCCCAGGGTGTGGCCGAGGCTTGCTCATCAGCTTCCCTTCCGCACCCAGGTCAGCAGAGCCCTCCTCCCAGCAAGGGCCCCAAGAGCCCACCCTGGTGGGGCTGAGGGTGGGTCCCTGAGACCCAGCTGCACCCTCCCCAGTACCTACCCCCACCTGGCCAGGCACTTCAACCCTCCCAGTTACCAGGTCAAAAAGCAGCAGGGTCTGCTCCTGTGGCTGGTCAGATTCCACAGTGTCCTTGGGGGAGCTGCCCCAAGCCCCCCCCGGAGGACTTTCCTCCACTCAAGTCTCAGGCCATACAGATCATGGAATCCCAGCGCCCCACTAAGGAAGCTGGGAGAGGAGCAGGGACTTGCCAGGCTCCCACAGCCAAGGCCAGGCTCCTGCGGGCGGAGGTGACCGGCCAAGGCCCGGGCTCCGCATGCTTCCCCCACCAGCCCCCGTGGCCGCTCCGGGCCCTTGCTCCGTGCAGGGCCAGCGCACTAGGACGCAGGTGACAAGGGCACCGAGCTGGCCTGCTGACCAGCGGCTGGAAACTGAACGACCAAGAGGCTGATGGAGAAATTGTGACCGACTGGCTGTGACTTGGCTGACTGACTACAGCTGGCGGACTGACAGGACCGACTGACAGGCTGGGAGACCGGCAGGCTGACAGGACTGACAGGCCGGCAAACTGACGGGCCGACTGACAGGACTGACTGACAGCCCGGCGACGAGGCCGGCCGGCAGGCGGGCTGGGGCGGGTGCTGGCGGCGGCCGCCCGCCTCCCGCTCACTCGCCGCGCCGCCTCCCCCGCCGCGAACCGGCTCCGGAACCAAAGGGCGCCGGGCCGAGCGGGCGACCCGACGGGGGGCGGCGGGCTGAGCGGCGGGCAGGGGCGCCCCGGCGGCCCCTTCCCCGCACTCGGCCTCCCCGCCTCCTCCGCCCGCCCCCCGGGGCGAGGGAAGCTGCCCGCCGCCCCTCGGACTCCCGGGGAGACCCCAGCAGCCCGGCCTCAGGACGTCTGCGAGGAGTTGGCGGGCCCGGGGCCCCGAGTGGGCAGGGGGCCGCCAGGGTCCGGGGAATCCGCACGGCCCCCGCTGCCCCCTGCAGCCCGCCGCGCGTCGGGGCCCCTGCCAGCTCCCCGGCCTTCCGAGGGCCAGCCCGGTGTGGCGAACCCCGGGGGGCCCCTAGGTGGCGGCAAAGGCCGGAGAAAGCGGGCCCAAAGGGGTCCCTTCCCTCCGCTCGTCCCCAGAGAGGCTGGAAGCCTGGCCTCGCTCAGAAGCTGAGCATCCAGGCTGCGAGAACGTGCGCGCATCCCGCAGCGATCCTGCCCCAGGAGGGGGCGAGGCGGGAAGAGGGGAGGCTACGCGGAGAGGCCGCGGGAAGTGACGGCGCGGAGGCCGGGTGCGCTCAGACCTGCCGTCGCGGCAGTGTGACCGTGGGGGTCCCCTCGCCTCTCTGAGGCTTCATCTCCTCGCCTGTAGACAAGAGGCGCACCTGCTTCCTTGGATGTTTTAGGGAACCGACTGAAACGCTGCGTGGATACCACTTAGCACAGGGCCTGGCGCCCGGTAGGTGCTCGGTCAGGACTCGACAAACTAACAAGTGAAAGCAGCGTTCCTCGGTTACCACGACAACGCCTGGCTGGTATCTGAGCGAGATGGTCTTTTATAAAGTGTCGATTGGGCCAGGTTACACTCCCCAGCTATTCAGTCTGATGCTAATCTAGATGCTCTGACCAGGGTAATTTGTAGATGCAATTAAATTAAAACTTTGTAGATGTGATTTAAATCAGTTTACCGTAAGTGAAATTATTTTAGAGAGATAATCTAGGTGGGCCTGATTCAATCAGTTCAAAGGCCTTAAAATCAGAGTTGGCGCTTCTCTGAGGAAGAAGTAATTCTGCCTGTGGACAGCAGTTTCCACCTTGGCCAGAGTCCCAGCCGGCACCTAATGGTCTCAGTCTTGCTCAGCCCAGCTCCACAGTCACCTAAGTCAATGCCTTCGATGAATCTCTTAATATGCATCTCCTACCGGTACCATTTCTCTGGCTGTATTCTAATACAGAGAGTAAGTGAGGGTGTGTGTGTGTGTGTTCATGCTAGGGTCACAGGGCCCAATCCTCATGTTTATTCACTGCTTTTTAAGTTCAGGGTGGCTTGTGCCTTTCCAGGTCCTGCAGTTGGAGGCTATAGCAAAACCATGGTTGTTTCATGATAGAGCTGGG